GTTGCCATGTATTAGAGCTTGCAGGTTGGTGAGTGCCATTTCCAGTTTCCCCACAGAGAATCAATTTCCTTTTACCTGGAGCCTGAAGATTATCCTGTAGCATTGGCTTATGGTGCTTTCTGTCAAACTGCTAGTAAATCCTCTCTTATAATTAAAAAGAGTCAAGTGTCCAAATACAAAGAAAAGGTGACAGTCTGAGGGAAACTGAAATGCATGACTCAAAATTTTCCTCTGGCTCATGAAATACCTCTTTCCATCATCTCCTCTATACACTGAAAGCCCCCCACCAACTCTCAGTGTCCCATGAGACCCTTGCTACCTAGCACTTCAAACTTCTTACATCTAAAGAAAAGTAGTTGCCACAAAAGAACCATTTGTAGTTGCAAGATCCTAAATCATGAATGTATAGGATTAAAAGGAAAAGCCCATCTGTCACAGCCAGTAGTTCAGAGTTAAGATCCTTTAGTCCACCGCAAGATGCTAACTAGAGATGCACAGAGAGCCGAGCTCAAAGAGAACACCCTCCAAAGCCTTTGCGTTCTTAGTGTCTGTGTTTCCCGTTCACTTCACTGTCTGAATGTTAATGCAGAGGAATAAAAAGTGTGCACAGAAGATCCAATACCTTTAGTGAATTTTGATTGCTGTTTTCTACTTCTAAGGAGAAAAAAACTTATTAAACAAAATGCAGAGTCACGTAGTTCAAGCTACCCACTGTCTCTTCATAAAGCAAAATGCTTAATATGCAGGAATTTCAAGTGAGAGGAGATGTCAGGTCTCCAAAAGCCACTATTATCAAACAAAGCAGCCAGAAAATTAATGCACTTGAGATGACTGTGATCATACTCCTGGCTATCAGCCAGCATTCTTCACTTCTCTTGGTAGGAGCATGCTTCAGCACTCCTTATTGTACACAGGAAGCCTATCTACACACCTTGGTTCTTTGACCAAAAATTCTTCCCTTCTTTCTAGAGTACCGCTTTAACTTTCCAACTACCATTTACAAGCATTTGCTGACCACAGTGTTTCAGGAAGAACTACTACAAACAAATGGTATACAGCAATAATCAGGATAGTTTTGTTGCTAATGAAGAGAAATGGGACATTTAAAGACCAGTGATTTTGATGGTCCCCCATCCAAACAAGGTGTCCTCTCTAAGCCCAAAACAATCCTCCCTATGACCTCCTACCATACCTTCCTGAGTTAGTGCTTTATCTCAGACATTTTAGAGAGAGAATCTTGGTGTCCATATGAGTGGTTCCATCACCCTTCCTTCCAGGGCTGCAGAAATGAAAACATCCCATAGGGGGTGGATAGTTTGTGTGTCTTGCCAACCCAAGACAAAGTAACAAATTTCAACTGATCGAGGGGTTGGGTGCCTTAGGCTGTCCTACATTCTGGTTCACTGAAAATGGCCACTCATTACAAATTACCAGGTAATAAGTAATAGGGCAAAAGGCTTTCAAGGTGGGACCTTCCTTGTATTAATCAAGAAAATGAATACTCAAGAGTTTAACAACAAAATCATATACCTTTTGGACAGATGATAGTCTGTTTATTTGCATCATGACTAATAGTAATGGCTATAATCCATCACATTAGAAAAGTAATCAACAGTGCTAGCCATACCAAATTAAAATTGATTGAGACCTCACATGACCCTGGCAAAAGCTAATAATTACATCATTGTTACATAGCCAATAGTAAGCAGCCAAAACACTATTTTGCTTCTTTTGGTTTATAAACTCTGTTATATAAAGGCTAGCATAGAAAGATTAAACAAAATAAATTAAAATAAAACACTGCTGATACCTTTTTTTCTCAGTAATGACACCAGGAAAATTATTGCCACCTGCTTTTCAGTTGTTATTCTATCTCCTTTGGGTCATGCACCATCCTGGTGCTCTGCATATTTGATCCATTTTATCCCCATTCCATTCATGAAGGCACATTGGCACCAGCCTCATATTATAGAAGAACTGAAAATCACCCCAGGAGCCCAGAGCCATAGCCAAGACTCAAATCTAAACCCATCTGAAATGGATGTCCAGTGTATCCATTCTAATCAGTAAGCAGGGAGTCTGTATAATGAGACTGGATGACTACAAGAAGCATCTCTCACAGATATGAGTTCAAATATTGGCAGAAAAAGAAAGCTCTCTTATAAATCATAGGTTATCTTTTAGGGTTAGTTTTCTGAAATTTGGTGAGGTATCAGAAGGTCTCAGAGGAGGGTTCCCCTACAGTCATAACTCTTGGCTCAGAGGATGTCCTCAACAATGTGGCAGGGACACAGTGGCAATAAATTAAGAGTTATTTACCACAAAAATTATCACTGGATGTCATTTATGTTCACCTTCCAAAAACAAAACAAAACAAACAAAAAAATCTGGAATGATCTTGCATAGACAAGTGACAAATATTATCATTAGAGACTGTGGAGTTATGGGAAAATGACACTCAAAGGGAGTCTTATCAGACTAGGAAAACAGTTCAGGGGGCAAAGTGTATGCCGGGCAAGTATGAGGACCCAAGTTTGGATCCTAAATACTCATGCAAAAATCTGGGCATGGCAGCAAAAGGGAGGGACCAGATGGAGACAGACAGATCAAGGGCTCACTGGCCATCTGGACTAGCAAGATGGAAACAGATAGATCAGGGGGCACTGGCCTTCCAGTCTGGCTTAAATGGCAAGCTCTGGGTTCAGTGAGAGATTCCCGTCTCAAAACATAAAGTGAGGAAGTGATTAAGGAGGATGGCAGCCTTAGGCTCCAATATGGCCCCAGATGGTGGGCAAGCGCTCTCTCTCTCTCTCTCTCTCTCTCTCTCTCTCTCTCTCTCTCTCTGTCTCTCTCTCTCACTCTCTCTCTGTCTCTCTGTCTTTCTGTCTCTGTCTCTGTCTCTGTCTCTCTCTGTCTGTCTCTCTGTCTCTCTCTCTCTCTCTCTCACACACACACACACACACAAGAGGGCGGGGGAGACAGACAGATGTTCTTGCGAAATATCACTCTTAAGTTCCAGCTACTGTCCCTCCCAACAGCAGAATGTTAGGACAGCCACACCGGTGTTTGGAGAGCGCCAAACTCATTTCTGACCATGCAGAGTTTGGTTATTTGTCTCTTGTTTTGTCGTTGCTGCTGTTACTGCTGCTGCAGTGTTTGTAGTACACGTCCTCAAAGGAAACTTTTCCTGTTGGATGGCAAGGCAGGGGTTAAGCAGTGGCCCCTGACTCTGTGCTGAGCTGGCCTGAGAGCAGCATCTGGGGCTACAGAGCCTCTGAAAGCACCACCAGGGCCCTCTATCAGGCAACTTGGGAAACTGAAAATACAGGAAAAGTGCAGGAAGGAAACAAAGCCTCTGTCCATCCTTTGGTGAAAGAGGCAAACTTGGAGTGAGTTTTGCAGTTGTTTCTTCTCCTTTCCCATCTCTGCCTTTGTGGCAGAGAAAATAACATAACAAGAAGTGAACCATGGTTGCTTTGGCTTAATCAGCCTCTTTCAAATTGCCTGAGCTCCAAATAGGAACAAAACTTCCCATCAAGGTCAAGCTAAACTTCACAAAGTAGGGTCCAATCACCATGAGGAAAAATTAGCATGATCAGAGCCAGCTGTGATATTTCCTCGCTGCTGTACTCCTCTGCCTGAGCGTGTACCTGAAGGACCATTAGAGATGCTCCAAATCTGAGCATAGAGCAACTCACTGGCTGCAAGCCCATGTTCCAGTGTACCTAAGTCATACATTTGACAATAAAAGTCTGCTGCTGTCTTGTTTTCGGTAATTCATCCTATCAGGTATTCTGCTGTGAATATATATGACTTTTATGAAACAATGAGAAGTCTGAACACGAATTCTATATTTCATGATGTGAAGGAAACAGTAAGTTTCTCTTCATGGTTAAGCCAGTATGTGATCGAAGATTTCTCTGAAAGTGTGTCACTTTTAGATCTACACAATAAGATGTATACCTGTTTAATCATGTGATGTCTGAGGTTTACTTCACAACAAGGAGGACCATCCCAGACAAAGATGACACAACATTCATTTTGAGCTCACAAGTGTAAATGCTATAAGGCTTCCCTGGGACAACATTTGCCTTTGTTCTTTTTGGATTTTGCAGATGTTAAAATTTCTCCAAGATAAAAGCTTTTTAAAGCTAACCCAAATTCATTTGGATTATCTGAAATTAGTATCAGAAAGTGTTTTTTCAAAAATAGTTTAAAAACTTGTTTAACTTTAAAGCTGTACATGTTGGCAAATACACTCAAGAACCTGAAGAAGTGGGATCTATGTGAGTTTGAGGCTAGCCTGGTCTAGTGTAAGACCCTGTCTCAGCAAGCAAAAGCAATTCAGTCTTATAATGAATATAAAATGGGATAGGAAGATCTAAAACTGCCTATAAAGTACTGTGTAAACAAAAGAAATGTAACCTATGTTCCCTTGGCAGTGAGAATAAATGCTATTTTATTTATTTACTTTTTAAATATTTCTCAGATTTGCTAAAAAGGAACTATATTAGACTTGTAACTTTACAAAGTAAGATATGCTGATAATATAAAGTGAAATGGGGCTGGAGAGATGGCTCAGCCGTTAAAGGCTAGGCTCGCAACCAAAAATATAATGTGAAATGGAAAATTGCAAAATAGTAGATAAAGTAGAAGCTTGTTCCTCTTCCCAGTATGTGAGTGCACGCGTGCGTGATGTGTGTGATGCGTGCTTAAGACAAACAACATTAAATTGCCCACGGAAGTTTGTCTGTTGGTCTCTGGATGGAGGTGTTAGTGGTCATTTTTTATTTGCTTCATTTTGCCTCTGTGTATGTTTTCTCCAAAATAGAATCAGAAAAACTATAGAGTAAGAATTAGCCCAACTCTCATTGCAGTAATATATTAAACCTTAAAGTAAGGTGGTATAAATTCTTTGACCAGCCAGCATTTTGTAGTGATACTCTCACCTTCATATACGCAATTGCTTGATCACGTGTCTCACCCTGCTTCCCTTCCAGGTGTTTCCATGCCGATCCCAGTCTTTGGATTGCAGGATGACTCCAAGGTCTTTAAGCAGGGGAGCTGCCTGCTGGCCGACGACAATTTTGTCCTCATAGGTTCTTTTGTGGCATTTTTCATCCCCTTAACCATCATGGTGATCACCTACTTCCTCACTATCAAGTCCCTTCAGAAAGAAGCCACCCTGTGTGTGAGTGACCTCAGCACTCGGGCCAAATTAGCCTCCTTCAGCTTCCTGCCTCAGAGTTCTCTGTCATCCGAAAAGCTCTTCCAGCGGTCCATCCACAGGGAGCCAGGCTCCTACACCGGCAGAAGGACGATGCAGTCCATCAGCAATGAGCAAAAAGCGTGCAAGGTGCTGGGCATCGTGTTCTTTCTGTTTGTCGTAATGTGGTGCCCATTCTTCATCACCAACATCATGGCCGTCATCTGCAAAGAGTCCTGCAACGAACATGTCATCGGAGCCCTGCTCAATGTGTTTGTCTGGATTGGTTACCTCTCCTCGGCTGTCAATCCACTGGTCTATACACTGTTCAATAAGACTTACAGGTCTGCCTTCTCACGGTACATTCAGTGTCAGTACAAGGAAAACAGAAAGCCACTGCAGTTAATTTTAGTGAACACTATACCGGCGTTGGCCTACAAGTCTAGTCAGCTCCAGGCGGGACAAAATAAGGACTCTAAGGAAGACGCTGAGCCGACAGATAATGACTGCTCTATGGTTACACTAGGAAAACAACAATCAGAAGAGACTTGTACAGACAATATCAACACCGTGAATGAAAAGGTTAGCTGTGTGTGACGGACTGGTTGCTGTGACGCTGGCACTTGAACAAGTTTTTAGCCCTTGTGTGTGGGGGTGGGAATAAGGAGGCTGGGACAAATTAGACTACTCCAGTGACTCAACAGAATCTATATGCCTCATTGTATTCTGTGTATGAAGAGCAGTGTACCACAAAATGTGCACTTGGACAATGTCCTGACGGCATTTGAGCTGAGTGTTATGGTTTTATCATTGTCCTTTTAACCTTGTCAGTGAGATCTTTAAGATCATTGTACTTTACTGTACAATTACAATGAGGCATAAAATCAATCTAATTAATTTCTATTATTCAAATTGAAACCTTGCTGCCATGTTGTTGATGGGTGGCGCAGGAGTGAGTTGGTGAACTATTATTGTATATAAAAATAGCTAGAAATACTAAAATAATGAATAGCCTCTTTTAAAAAAGTGTTTAAAATTCACCATGACACATATTTTGAAAATAAAAAATAGTATTATGAAATTTGTATTGCTAATATAAATTAATTGAAATACTTGACAATATTTTTCATTCTTGCCTTTTCATAGATGCCATTTTGAAATGTTCACAAGATCGCTGGCATTTGCTGCATTTGTCATTTAATTCTCAGATGTGGAAGGGTTTTAAATGTTACTCAATAACGTGCTGCTTTCTCTTCTACTTCTTGGGCTTAACCTGAATTTGCAATGTGATCTTGTTTCGTATATTTTCCTCTCTGTAAACTATCAAAGGATAATTTTGCTTTTCGAAATACAGTTCTAGAACGCGCTTCAAAGAAACAGCACCCTGGAGGTATTTGGTCACGCACTGTGGGACCACTGCATTGTGCATGCGCCCTTTGAGCTGTGACCAGTACATTGATTTGACTGCCACAGCTAAACAATAAACTCAGGTTTCTCGCTGTTAGCAGTAGCTTCTTAGGCTGTTTCTGAAAAAAAAAAAAAAAGTCAAGTGACTTTCTTATTGACACTTAATCAGGTAAAACTGATGTTTTCAAAGGGCTGGGGATATAGCTCCAATGATAACAGTGTTCCTCTAGCATGCAGGATTCCCCAGCACTGCGAGCACTAGCTTGGATCCACAGGGCAAGGTGGTGCATGCCTATTATTCTAGCCCTTGGGAGATGCAGGTGAATCAGGAATTCAAAGTCATTCTCAGCTATTTATCAAGTCAGTGTGGACTGCATGAAACCCTGCCCCCAAAAGAAAATAAATAAATATAGGCTTTTTTAAAGTTGATACTTTCAGGTTAAATGTATTTATATTATTTATTAAAATGGGTTAGCTTGGTTCCACAGTGATCTATGTACTGTATCTTATGAGTGGAGCAGTTCCTTAGTTATTAAAGATATAAAAATAAATTTATAAGATCTTTGCATTTAAAAATGACAACTTAATTGGTCATTGTAAAAAAGTATGAACAGATTTATTTTGAAGATCAATCAGTTCAATTTCTTTCTTACCTGATTCGGAAAAGAGTTTGTATTTACTCTAGAAAATGTTTGTTTGTTTGTTTGTTTCAATTTTTCTCATTTGCCAAGCAGGCAAGAAAATGGGAAAATATCAATTGAATCAAAGATTTCAACTTATATATAGAAATAAGCACCTCAAACTGGATCCAATTCATGACGATCAAGGTTTAAAGCAATATTTTTGTTCCTACCCTCTAAAACTACATTCATTTTATTGATAGATACTAGCTCCCAATTAAAAAGCAAATATCAGTTACCATAATGTTTGGTAGAAATGATCACTAACAAAGTCAGCCACCGTTAGTCCCCTTTGACACTGTGATGCACAAGAGTGAATTGCACATTACTGTTGGGAACAGATGATAGACGCAGGGTAAAATGCTGGAAGATTTATATTCACTATAAAGGTGTTTTGCTGTAAGCCTTTGGGAAATGTTACAAGTTTGGCATTAAAGAATGTAGAAAGCTTCATTATGTAGGTTGGAAATGCACTAATGTTTTCCCAAGTTTGTCCTTACAGGCGCTTTGAGTGGTGGTCATTGTTTCAGACATAGAATTATAGTATGTCACTAGTACTGAGGTTGTGTTAGGAAGTCTACTGTAATGTGTGTTGCCTTACACACTGTACACATGTCAATATGCATTAAGGAAAAGGCTATCAATTCTAATCCATGAACTTAGTTCATCAGAATGAACATAAATACTGCCTGGCAGATGTCTTTTGACTATACATGTATAGCCAGTGTGTATGTGGTTTTTCTCTGTGTAAGTATTCATTGAAGTGTATATAAGAAAACGTGTACCTGTATATATGTACAGACATGTTCCCATGCACTTTATTCAATATTTATATATTTATATGGAAGAAGAGCAAGTCATTGAACACACACACACACGTGCATGTTTGAATCATGTTGATCTAAATGTGAATTCATGAACTAAGATTCCTATGACTTTCCATGACTGCCAAATGAGGTTACAGTGTAACAGAGATACCGTCTAAACAAACTGGAAAATGCTTTAATTGTATGGAAAGATTTTAACACAGGTCTATCAGGATGTTGAAAATAATAGTCTGTGTTCCATGTATTAATATGAAATTGGATGGTAACTTAAGGCCTCTCTTTAAGCTGGGTCCTTCCTGACCTCTATGGCTCTTCAGATACACTCCTCTCCCCAGTAGGGGGGAAAAGACCATCTAATGATTTATTGATCCATGGTGAAAGGATTCATTTCTAGCCAGTACTATTAAAAGAGTAACTACACTCTTCTTTAGGTTGGATGATAAACGTTTCTAGACTTAAGGGATTCAATGCCATAGCTAAGGAAAACTCAATTTAAAGCTTACATAATCTATTTGGCCACATCGCCATCTCATGGTCAGTTTTGGAAAATGCTACCATAGTTCAATTAAATTGTGACTGGGCTGCTTTTAGCAAAAGGGTTCTTCTCCCATTTTGTGCACTGATGAAACATATTTATAAAGTGTTGTTATTCTGTGCCATATGTAACAAATACAGTGAAGATTTATTTTATGTACTGATTTTAATCTATTCTAAAATATTTCAAGAATGAATGATTAATTGCAAATAAAGTATACTAAAAACAGTGAGTCAATAGCTGTGTTTGCTGAAAGGAATTGCCTCAAACCTACCAGATCTCCAAGCTGAGGACAATTGGAAATCAAAAGCCTGACCTTCTGGATTCAGCCACATCAAAAAGCTAGAACTCACTTCTTCAGCTTCAAGGTCATGAGTCAGCTTCCAGTTATCATATACAGAAGAGAGACAGATGCTCTGTGTCTTACTGATGCCATCAAGAGATACAGGCTTGCCTTCAGGGACACACACACACATAACCATACATGCACAAGCACATGCACATTCTTTCATAGGGACCATTGTACACGCGCACATAACCATACATGCACAAGCACATGCACATTCTTTCATAGGGACCATAGTTAATCAAGGACATGGAGCATCATTAAATAGGCCAGAGGGTCATCATTTCATCTTTAAGGGATGAAACAAAGCAGGGCTTCATAGGTGCATGCCTGTAACCCCAGCACTGAGGAGGTGGAGGCTAGAGGGTGAGGGATGCTTACAGATAATAAGGCCAGCCTGAACTGCATGATACCCTGTTTCAAAAAAATGAAGGAAGTATAGAGATAATTACAAAAAGGGATAATGGTCTTTTCCAGGATGTTATAACTCATGTGTTGAGCATCCACCTACTGTATTCCAGCTGTTAAGCTGTCTGGTTTTTGCTCATTTCATATAAATGGGCTCTTCACAATGATCCTAAAGGTAGGAATAGTCTTTTTTGAAGGTAAGAAACTGATACTCCATTAGTGACATGTCAAAAGTCACACAGCTAACAAGAAATATGGCAGTTCAAGCCAGAGGCGTCTGATCCAAATCCATTAATGCTTCTCCTAAATTCATCCAAGTGGTGGAAAGAGTATCTTTTATAACCCAGACACTCCAGTTTCCATCTTTGCTTCTCCTCTACACTTAATTATGAACTTGAGTCATCCTTGTCACCATGCACCTCATTGTTGTGTCTCTAGACTGGACCTGCTGGGCCCTGCCTCGCAGACAAAGATGGATACATTATATCACAGCTGTAGCTGTTCCTGATAACCTGCAACAACCTGGAAATGTTAGAAATGGGTTTGTTTGCTTCAGTTTTTGTTTGTTTTTATTATTATGAAACTAAGGATTCAATCTAGGCTCTTACAATGCTAGGTAAGCATTCTGCCACCTAACTATAACTTTAAGCTTTCCTTTTGAGAGAGGTTCTTAGGTTGCCCAGGCTGGCCTTGAACCTACTCCATAGCTTAGGAAGGGCCTGAACCTGTGATCTTCCTCCAACACAGTTTTTCATAATTCTCTACTGTTTTCTGTGAATGTTTCTGACTTTCAAAACACCTTTTACCTCTGCTACCATGATACATAGGTTCCTTCATCTGGCTCCCTTTATTGCTTCTTTCAAAAGTACCCATTTAATGTCCTGTTTATAAGACTGTCACCAGGTTTATGGCCGCCTACAATCTGTGCCTAGCAAACCAGATTCAGCCACCCTTGATAAATCAATTGAAAGAGCCAAATTAATAGTGAAAACAATAAAGGAGGATTTATTCAATCAGTGATGGAGAATCAGAAGGCAAGAGATAGCTAAGCAGTCCTGCAAAGGACTGCCCATCATTGTCTCAGATCCAGTCTCTCCTGAAGTTAGTTTCTCCTGCGTCATCATCTAGCAAGCTGTAAGTCTGCCCCCAAAGACAAGTTTCTCTTCTGGCTGACAAAAGCTCCTTCTCTGGTTGTCCCCATGGCATGGACATTTTCTTCTCCAACAAGAGATTGCTAAGAAATTCTATTTATTGGGAGACCCATTTGTTTCAATAGTCTGATAGACAAAGATGAGTACACAAGCATGTCTTTTGAATGTATTTGTTCCTACCAGGCAGGCCTCTATTTTAATAAGAAACTAGAGCTTATTGGCCTTGGGAACCACTGACATCTCTTTAGCTGTCCACCCTTAACATAATCCAACAGGCAAAAACAAAAGACAAACATTTTAGGCACCAAGAAGACAAATAAGAAAGAAATTTGGGGACCAGTAATATTTTCCTGGTGTCTTGCAAATGATCTACAGGAAAACAGGTACCTTTGGATCTTCCATATTCATATAAATGTTTGCAATTTAACATTAGAAAGGATTTTTAAATAGAATTTCCTATCTTGTATTCATATCTTTTCTACTCCCTATAGCCCCCAACTCTTCCTGTGCCTCCTTACTCCCTCTCAAAGTCATGACATCTCAAATTATTATTGAGATACATGCATGCTCACAAACACACACACATACACACACACACACACACACACACACACACCTGATGAGTCCATGTAGTGTTGCTCAATTGTAAATGAATATGTAAAAGGCTGACCTCTTGTGATTGGATAGCCTGTCAGTGAGCTCATCCTTGGAGAAAACTGATTCTCCTTTCCCTCTTGGAGCAGCCATTTGCTTGTAGTTGTCCTTCTAGAGGAGGCCCCTCTAAGGCTTTCCCTGTCCACATTGTCATGTCAGCCACTGTTGTCATTATGCAAGTGTTGTTTAATCGGCTGAGATAGTGTTTCGTACTTATGACAGTATTATCACCTAACAACTTTTAACCCATAATAATGACTTGGAAAAAATCCATAACTTTGAGAAAATTAGGAATATTACTAAATTCTTCCTCCTGTTTGGCAGTTTATGGGTATTTATTTCGGTAAATACACAATAATTATACCACCTTTTGTTGCTTACTGATTATTTGTATATGGGTTGTAAAAACAAATGCTTTCTTCTGAATAACAATAATACACACACAAAAGCTCTGCCCTTCCTTTTTATAATTTTTATTAAATTTGTCTTTTGAGCTTCATACATGACATAATGCATTCTGGTTGCTCTCGGCACTC